AATATTCATAAATAGTGGCATCGTAAAAAAATATTTAAAAATAATCGTAACAACACTTTTTACCAACTTGGAAATGACGCGCTCGTGTTAGCCAGATTCGTAAATCAACTAAAATTTTAATAATCTATAGTTTCAAAAATGTATAGTTTAAAAACAATCATTTATCAAATATTCTAGTTTTTTGATAACGAGGGTAGTAAAAACCAGTCTTCGGAAATAGAAATTAATTCGAAAATCTTGGCAACATGGTTATTTCTTACAAGACTAGTTTTCTTATCATCTGACAAAAACTTGCATATTAATTACTGTTGATGTTTAAAATAGGTAAATAAACCTAATTTATATAGGTCATCCTCAACATATCAGTGAAGTACGTTTGTTTTAGAATTAATTTTTAAAAATTAATAACTCCCTTAATAAGGGGTATTTTTAAAAAATAATATTTTTCTACATTCAGTGGGGATCTGCGCAATACCCAGTTTTAATATGTACGTGTATTTCAATAACACCCTGTACATATAGGTACGGTTTAATCGACCTATTTTTGACCCAAGAATACGTGGTATAATTTATGACTAATCTTTTTGAAACACCCTGTATATTGAAAACAAGTCTAGAAGGTTAAGTTACATGAAATATATCGTGTACAATAAAAATATGTAGACCTTTTTTTATTATTACAACCTTTTATTTAACTTGCAATATTATAGGTTAGTTTGTTTAAATCAAATCTTGTAACAGTATTTTAAAACAGTTATTCCGGACCGATTGAGCTGAAATTTTGCATAGTTTTGATGACGTCATTCTAAATCCAATATGGGGTACTCCCAAAGATGGCGGACTAGTTAATTTTTTTGCACTCCTTGATATGACTATCAAATGATGGGGTTTGCAGAGAATACGAGACTAAAATGATGTCACTCTAAATTCTGTATGGCGGATACCTCAAAATGGCAAACTAAATTTGTTTATCTGCCATCATGATACTATTATTCTAGAATTGAAAAATCTAATAATAAAGTTAAAGAAACTTGGAATATTATTAATAAATTGAAAAATAAACAAAATTCCAAATCCGTTAAGAACTACATCGATTTAGAAACATTTAATCAGTATTATTGCTCAATTGCTGAAAATCTGACTAATAATTTCAGATCGTCAGTTGATCCTTTAGATTATTTAAAAAATACCCATGTTAACTCCAACTTTACTCTAAGTTTTACAACATGTTTTGAAATAATGGAAATATGTTCAGATATTAAAAACAAAAATGCTGCTGGTTATGGTGATATTTCTATTAGAGTTATCCTAAACCTTCCTGAATCAGCAATGTTAGTCCTTGCTAGTCTGATCAACCAAAGTTTCGTCGAATCAAATTTTCCGTCATTTCTTAAGACCAGTGTTATTGTTCCTATACATAAAGGCGGCAGTAACTACGATCCTTCGAACTTCAGGCCTATATCTCTCATTCCTACAGTGGCCAAAATTATTAAAAAAGTTGTAAAAAAACGTTTGATTCATTATCTAGAAACTCACAAATTGCTGGAAACACAACAGTTTGGTTTTCAAAGGAACAAAAGTACTTTTGATGCGATATTTTCTTATCTTGAACATGCTTATTCTAGAATTAATGTTGACGATTCTGTAGCGGCGATATTCTGTGATTTAACTAAGGCGTTCGATTGCGTCAATCATACAGTACTGTTGGATAAACTTCGAATTTACGGGATCAAAAACGGAGCGCTGAGTTGGGTAAAATCTTATCTGTCAGTACGTAAGCAAATGGTAAGAGCGTCTCAGGATTCTCAAGTTTTAGATATTAGTTGGGGTGTCCCTCAGGGTTCTGTGTTAGGTCCCATTTTATTTCTCCTTTATGTGAATGACAGCTCAACTTGAAATTGCAGGTACTTTCACTCTATTTGCAGATGATACTACGATTTTATGGCACAGCAATGACACTTCTGTCCTATACAACACCATATCCTGTGACATTAAGAAAATCAAAGCATGGTGTGATGCCAACTATTTGCGTCTTAATATGGGAAAAACTAAAATGTTAACCCTTAAATGTTCCCTACCAAATATTCAGTTGGGAAGTCATATTATTGAATGTACTGACACAATAAAATTTCTGGGAATTAATTTAGATAATAATTTGAAATTTAGAAACCATATAGAATTGCTAAACAGAAAACTTTCTTCTGGATGTTTTGCAGTCAGAACTGTGGCAAAAGAACTAGGTTTTAAGGCAGCAAAAAGTGTGTATCACGCCCTAGTTGAGTCCCATTTGAGATATGGAATTGCATTTTGGGGAGGTTGCAGCCGCGAATTATTCAATACTGTTTTTTTGTCTGCAAAAGAGAGCAATACGATTTTTATGTGGAATGAACAAGCTTGAGTCATAGACATGAAATTTTAACATTAACATCGTTGTTCATTCTTGAAACCACTTGTATTATACATAAAAATAAATCGAACTATGCCAATACTAACGATCGGCTAACGCGACAAGTTGACAACCTGCGGTTGCCCATACCCAAATCTGAACTGGTAAGGGGCTCTTTAATTTATAATGGGATTAAAATGTACAATAAGTTGCCAAATGATATTAAATCGACGGAAACGGTCACAACATTTAAAATACTGCTTGAGATATGTTGATGACAAAAGCATATTATGCTTTGACGGAATTTTACAATGACTCTTAAATCGTTGTGACTGTTTGAACGTACATGTTTTTGTATTTATATAATTTTATCGATGTTGTGTTACGTATTTGTATTTGTAATTAACCTCTAATTTTATATTTAACGTTTTTATACAAATTTTAAATGAAAGTGTTTTCTGAGAAACATACGAAAATAGAATGAAGTAACTCTAAGTTTAATATGGCGTACCCATATATCATTCATCATTAAGCTAGGGCATGATTTGGAATCGAAGCTATTTGCTGCTGGCCAAGCATACGTGGCCTTAAGTAGAGTCAAATCGCTAGAAGGATTCCTTATTGAAGAACTAGACTGTACTAAATTAGCAGCCAAACGACCATGCAACAATTTTTTAGAGGATATACCTAATTTATGTGACGTCAGCGTTTTGCATACCGCCGCCATCTCAATTTTTTTTAAATTGCAAAGAATTTTAAAAATAATTTCAATGAACAAAATAAAATAATTTTCAAAACTACAGAAATCAACTAAAGTTTTTGATAGAAGAAGCAAAAAGAAGAAAATCTTTGAAAGTGCATTAAGGCAAATAACAAAAAAAAAATTAACCAATTTCTTAAATAAAAACAATACACGGTGATATTTCTGATAACATAAAATAATACAAATATATTTTCTGATCACTACACTAAAATAAGGAAAAGAATGGCAAAGAAAATTCCTGTTTATAGTAAAAAATAAATAAAAAATACGTGTGGCACTGCCGCGGTAAAGCTATTGCATAACATTTTTTATCAACTTATGCAATTATAATTATTTTTTTATTTTATTTATGCAGTATTTTTTTTTCTTTGATATTAATTCAAGTTACACTTTTTGAGCGTAGTGACCGACAAGAAAACAAATTTTTTTCTCTTATTGAATAAATGAGAAGTTAATATTGTTTAAAATATTTTTATTATCTTACAATACAATGTAGGTTATTCAGGAATTTTTATCATTGAAACTATAGGTTTATAGTAACTGAAATAAGAAACATAAGTCTAAATATCTGAACCGCGTCAATGGTGGTTCCATATTTTGTTGTAGATTCTTGTGGATCATTATTCATTTTTAAATTCAATTTTTCCGAAATTGTGTCTAAAAGAGATAGAATCAGTTATGAGCAGTTAGCAGCTAGTCTACACGCATACGTCTAGTCGCACGCACACAAACACCGTGCCGAAGTCTGACGAACTGAAACGACGTTAGACGATGCACGGCTTTCAACGCCGCAATACTGAGGTCCCATAGGAAGGGCATCAGTAATTATAATTGCAGTGTATTAAAAAAGGAATAAATTAAATGTAATCAACTACCGACGTATATTTATAATCTCGAGTGTAGGAAAATTTTTTAAAAAATTGTAGAAAATGAAATTACCTCATTTCCTAATAATTATAACATATTGTTACGTAGCACCCTGCAGCGTGCTGCGGTAGTCATAAGTAAAGATATGAGTAAAAGAAGACGGAGAATATTCGAAAAATGTCATTCTACGTCAAGAAAAACCTAGATATTTCCAGAAGGTTCGAGAAGGTGAAAGAAAGCTATGTAAGCCGATGATCGTGACGTCAATTATTAGTTTTATGATAGACGTTATACGTTAATGTTATCAGTTGTATTGTTAAAGTTGAGTTGCAATAAATTGAGATACCAAAAACCTGCATAACAATATTCTCAAACAACCAATATGGTTTTAAAGACAAACGAGTGACAGAAAATGCTTGCAAAAGGATTTTTAATTGCTATAGTCGTCTAGAATCAAATTATTTCATTGCCAGCAAAAAACGTAACAAAAAACATTATTTTGAATGTGACAGGTTACACGACAATTTTCACCACCGAGACATAGTACATGTTGTTTACCCCCTCCCCTGTACCCCTCTACAAATAGCAAATAAAAACACGACATGTCACCATAATAATAATAATAATAATTTTATGGCTAAATGCATTTACATAAAAATTAAGTAATTTCTAAATTATAGACTTCATTTAAATTGAAATTTATTAATTTATTTAATCAAACAAAGCTAGGAAAAATAAAAGAATGTATGCAGTGTATTGTTATTTAACATAAAAAAAATTAAGATATTTAAATTACTAAATCGTTACCAAGTTTAAAAGAAACTCATTCGAAACCGTTAACTACCAACCTTTATCGTGTACATGAAAAAGCAAATTAGTACTTAACAATAAAAAAATAAATAAAAGACATGTTAAAAATAATGAACGTTCAATAATAGCCCTACATGATTATTAATCTTTAATATCTTGATGTCTTTATTACAGGATACAACAGAATTTCTACTACAAGATCTGCAACCTAAATCGCAGTATTTTTTGCAAATACAAGGTCTCTTGCAATATGGTAAAGAACGACTAAAAGGCGAGAAATCTGGATTAGTACTGAACACTACAGATTTTATTAATGGTATGTACTTTTAATATGTACAGGGTGCTCCAAATTGGTATTTAACTTTATACACACGTAAAATATTGTGATAACATCATTTTTCAAATAAACTCTACTCGATGAAATCGATCTAAATGTTTTCCTCAAAATTTCTTGAACACAGGTTACCATTACATAAAAACGGTATCTATTTAGTTATTTTTTTCGAATTCTTTGTAAATTTGTAAGTAATGTTTTGATAATCATATTTTTTCTTTCAGTACAACTTAGTTCACTAACTTATGTTATCCCTATACCTCCAATAATCGTGCTCAATAACGATCGTTTAATAAAATTATTAAAAAAACTACACCACATATTCGTTATTTAATTTGTGAAAATCGATTAAATGTCATGGCGATTTTAAGCATAGAAAGTGAGTATGCTAAAGAGTGCGTTTTTCAACTTTAATTAATGACATGGAAATACAAAAAGCACATACCTATATAACTTATGAATTAAATGTGATATTCATGTGAAAAATATTTGCAATAGTTAGTAGATAATACCAATTTATGGTATTATGATTTATTAGTCATACTTATTAATATCTAGTAATTTTAGCTGGTATTAAAAATGTATATTATGTTATCTAAATATATAAAATCGTTTGTCCTGATGTCCTGATTGACCAACTGACTGACTGACCGATGTATCAACGCATAGTCAAAACTACTAAATCTAGAAAGCCAAAATAAATACCTATAAATAAAATTAAATAAATAAAAATAAATAATAAATAAAAATAAATAAAAATAAATAAAAATAAATAAAAATAAATAAAAATAAATAAAAATAAATAAAAATAAATAAAAATAAATAAAAATAAATAAAAATAAAAATAAATAAATAAAAATAAATAAAAATAAATAAAAATAAATAAAAATAAATAAAAATAAATAAAAATAAATAAAAATAAATAAAAATAAATAAAAATAAATAAAAATAAATAAAAATAAATAAAAATAAATAAAAATAAATAAAAATAAATAAAAATAAATAAAAATAAATAAAAATAAATAAAAATAAATAAAAATAAATAAAAATAAATAAAAATAAATAAAAATAAATAAAAATAAATAAAAATTAATAAAAATAAATAAAAATGAATAAAAATTAATAAAAATAAATAAAAATAAATAAAAATTAATAAAAATAAATAAAAATAAATAAAAATAAATAAAAATAAATAAAAATAAATAAAAATAAATAAAAATAAATAAAAATAAATAAAAATAAATAAAAATAAATAAAAATAAATAAAAATAAATAAAAATAAATAAAAATAAATAAAAATAAATAAAAATAAATAAAAATAAATAAAAATAAATAAAAATAAATAAAAACAAATAAAAATAAATAATTAAAAATTATTTGCAGTTCTTTACGCAAACCATGATACATCAGAAGAAATTTTGGATGAAATGGCAAGAATAAAACGAAGAATTTTCCTATAGGTCAGAGTTTTGCATTAAATATTTTTGTTTGTATTTTTTGCACTTAAGTTTGTAGAGCTTTTAAAGAAAAATTCAACGATGCAAACATTTCTTACTAATTTAAACGATAGTCAAGTTATTCAACAAAAAGTTTCTCTTAAAATTCCTCCAAATTTGATCTGAAAATCCTATTTTCTGGCCTTACGGACAACTCATTCATTTTATCCAATATCTTTCATTTTTTAACATATTCTTAATAAATTGGAAACCAATAATAAATTTTAAACCCAAAGTATTAAACAAGTATTTGCACCAGTGGCGCACCGAGGTAGGGTTTTAGAAATATTCTATCTCAATTATACCGTCAGATAATGACAGGTTCAGGTGACTTATTTTCGCATACAAGCCCCGAACAGGGTTGAAAAGTACATCGATTTTAAGTAGAATGAAAGGAAATTTACGAGTGGCTGCTGCGGATAACACATGGAAATTTCGATTTTCCCCTTATATGATTAATTAATTTAACTAAGCTTCGGAAAACCAAAGGCTTTATTGTTGCAAGTGGCTACGGGGTTGAAATAAGGGCGTCCGAAAAATATATTTTCTTGAATGACCTGAATGTATAAGTGCATTTTGAGGTCAGAAAATTTTTCTAATAAAGAAAATCGAATTTTCCATGTGTTATCCTCAAGAGCCACTCGTTAAATTTTCTTTTATTTTACTCAACATCGATGTTTTTTTTAAACCCTCTTCGAGGCTTCTATGCGAAAATGTGGTACCTAAATCGGTTACTATCTGCTGGACTATAATATTTATTTAAAAAGGTTTTTTTTAGCGTGGCACCCAGAAATATTTTTTCCGCAAATTGATAGAAAATTTTGACATTCCAAACAAGTATCCCTGGGGCCTAAACATATCTAGAACCACAGTTTAAAGAATATATATTCTTTAAACTGTGCTAGGACCAACCACATCTTGATTATACATCCATATCAAAATTTAATTCTTTACATTTTTTTAATAAAATTATTTTCTCATCGTAGCAAAAAAACTGATTTTTCCACTCGTAATGTAATGTAATATAATATTTCAATTTTTTATAGAACAAGACAACGCTCTGATCTTAGACAAGTCCAACAGTAACAAAATCGACGGTTTGCGAATACTTAAGTTGGTATGGAACAAAGGAACTCTGAAAGCCAGAATAGTTTGGAACCCTTCAAGTGATTTGTCAAAATATACAGTTACTTGGTGGTCGAGTTCGTCTGATGGCCCAATGAACGCTTTCAATCATTTTAAATTCGCTGCTATGACAAAGGTAAATATTTAGAATTAGTTTTTTTTTTAAAGAAATCCTGTTTCCATTTTTTTGAGTCGAAGGACATTGAAGACATAGGCACTGACTTTTAATTATTTCCCGGGAGGGGGAGTACCATGATGTGTGTCCAATAATGTGTTCTTTCTTCTAATTTATCACTGATCAATTTTTATTTTTTCATTATTTTTGTTCACGTTTCTCCGAGATTATTTCCCTAGGGACCTTGGTCTGCCGTAAAAATAATACGTTTTTAGTACAAAGAATTTTGTAATTTATAAAGTTAACATGTTTTTTTTTTCTTTTCCAGGCTAACTATTTCGACTTATTCGATCTACAATTTAATTATCGCTACAAAGTGAGTGTAAAAAGAGTGAATCTGAATGGAAAAAAATCGATACAAGATACTTTTGTGACTTTTACTACCCCCAAGTGCAGTGAGTTTAAAAGAAATCATAAGAAAATAAAATGTATATAAAGCTTGATTAAACTAAAATTATTATTGTGATAATATTATTTTCTGGCGATAACTATCCCTATTAGTTTTTTATTACATAATTTTTACCTGGAAAAAATATATTTATAACGAAAATTGTGTAACGAGTTTATACTTTTATGAATTTATAATAATATACAGTGCCTTTATAAAAAGTATCTTGTGCCGCACGGAATACATTAAGGGTGAGATTACAGAACGTCTGCAACTTTTCAGATTTGCAAATATGGCGGCAAATATCAAGTTTTCGAATTCCAAAAAATATCTGCAAATTCGTAATATTTATTGTAGTTTATTGCCCCCAACAACACTAAACCCAAATCCACCCTTAAGGAGGTTAGAACATTCTACAAAACTTGCAGATTGTCAATTTTTATTTTACTTTTTTTAATAACTATGAAATCTTTTATTCCTTTTGATTGAATACAGTTCGTTGTGTCAGATTATCGAGTTTTTAACACTGAACTCTATACTGTTACAGTTCAGTGAATTTTAAACAAAGTAATGGCTTTGGGTTTAGTGTTCTAAGTCCGCCATATTAGCAGATCTACAAAGTTACAAACGTTCTGTAATTTCATCCTTAGTATGTAGGTTATATAAGTTTATTCCAGCAATAAACTCCTGGCTATTATTTGATATATTTTTATTTTAATTGATACTTCTGGCTTTTCTTTTAAGAAATCTTAAATTTTATATGACAATGGGCAAAAATGTATGGGAAATTGCCCCACTTCCAATAAGGATAAGTTATATATCAATTAAAAGATATCTTTATTACGACTCATCTCAATTACTTGTCCGTTCCGAGTTATATCATCCTAAATATAACTAATTGCAAGATAGGCCAGTGCTTATATTCTGTTATTGTAGTGCTTATTATAGGAAAATAATAGTAATTATTACTTATTAGTAATATATAAACAATTATAATAGCCGGGTATATCATAAGATGCTGTCGAGTATTTGCTCCGCCACGTCTATCCCTTACCAAATGGCCTCAACGTGTTTGTTACACAGCCCCACATATGCTCTCCAACTGACCGGGACCAATGGTTTAAGACTAAGGTAATGGACTTACATAATAATACAATCATAAATATTGTTACCCCATTAAAATTAGAACGAATATAATGCCATTTGTAACACATACAGGGTGAATGGCTACTGGTTCATGCTTTTGTCCGTAACGTGTTGCCTCATTACCCTTAAAAGTAGTGTATAAAATGTTTTTAACTAATTTTTCGGGATTTGTTGATTCTTTTATTTTACAAACACGCCCAAAATTGGAAGCAGTAATTCGGAAAGCTCTCTCCTGCTCCCACAGTGGATTTGAACTCTGGCCTCTAGTGTTAATTTCTATTTCTTGAATTTCGATTTTAGATTTTAGTAATAAATCTACCAGTTTTTGTTTTCGATGTAAAACTTCTTCCTCCGTAAGATTTTCCACGATTTCTCCATAGTGTTTGTCAGCTTTGGCACCTTTTATTTTTTTTTCGAAAAGCTTTCTTAACTCTTTTTTGAGGAACCCTTTTTAATTTTCGTCGTATAGTAAAACGACTTATATGAATTCCAATACGATAATTCATACTTTTTGCTATTTCTTCTAAGTATTGAAATTTAGAATTATATGAAATAGCCGCCAACTGACAGCGCGTTTCGTAAGATCTTCTAGTGAACAAAATTGATCTGAAAAATAATGAATAATTTGTTTACTTTTAAAACATTAAAATATTTTTATATCTTTATATTTAGTATTTATCCTTAAAATTCAAAGTTTATAGGTATTTATTTTAAGAAACAATTACTGACTTTTAATTTGTTCCCAAAAATAGGCAACGTCCATAATTCTCCGCCCCTGAATTTAAATTTTTTTTTTAATAGAAATATTTTCCCACACAATTTCAATGTTTGCATCCTCAGTTTGTTGGGAACTTCCAGGAACATTTTCTATATTTTCACGACTTTTATTCCATCAAGAGTCGACCAAACTAAAATGTACAAATAATTTTCCATTATTTTTTTACCTCAATAATTTAAATATTTTACTTACCCTCTACCTTTTATAGAACAACTTTTACGTCGATTATTTCTTTTGTTGCCCATCGCGACACCACTAATAAAATATAACTAACTATAAAAAAACTACCTACTATACAAAACACGATACACCTCAAAATCTAAAACAATACTAATTTGCGTCGCCTGCATTTCGCAATCGCCTGCATTTCAAAATCGGATGAAGGTGTATCCTTCTTCCGAGTGTACCGAGTGAAGTTACCGACAATATTCGCAAGGAAGCAGCAGTACCCAGAGGCATATAAATACAACATTTTGAACAATTGTTTTTTAAATACCGTTTGATATTAAGAAATAAAATTTTTATAGCGTATTTATTGTGACATTATCTAGGACATGACATATCCTTTTGCTAAAATTCCAATTTTATGAGGTCACCGAATTTTTTCCACAGAAACAAAAAGTACTTTTCAGAAAAAAAAAATTGGGGCCTTCGACAACTTCCTACAATATATGATTTTAAAATTTCAGCCCATTTCATTAGAGCATTTTCGATTTATCGATGTTTAAAATTGAACTGAGGTGCTATTATACCCTTAAGTTGGAAACGTATGGGAAACTTTTTTATGAAAAAATTCATATGTGATAAAAAGTTCTACATGGTCCAATACTTAAAATGCAGCCATCAGATATCAATTTTTAAGCAGTATACGAGGTAGTCTATAAATATGAATTTTACTCAAGAGTTAAGTACCTTTATTTTTTACAATACAGGAGAATATTATAAAATAGAGGTATTTTGAAGTAAAAATATGCAATTATACCCATTTAGCATTAAAATTCAGGTTTGGTGATTATTTATTTATAGCTACAAATAATGTATAATGTAAAACGTAAATAATCACCTAACCTGAATTTTTATGTTAAATGACTGTATTTGCATATTTGGATATAATTTTTAATTCTAAATAAATTTACTTTATAACATTCTTCTGTATTTTAAAAAATAAGGTACTTTACTCTTAAGTAAAATTCATATTTTTTAACAAACCCCGTATACATCTTAAAAAAATTGATATATGGTAATTGAATTTTAAGTTTTGGACCATGCAGAACTTCTTATCAACAATCATTTTTTTCAGAATACCAATATTAAAAAAGTTTTCCATATGGATTCAACTTAAGTAGACACACTGTATAACTCGGAACGGACAGACAATTGAGAGAAGTAATAATAAAAACAAATGTTCTTCTTACCGATATCTTTTATCTGGCATACATCTTACTCCTATTGGGAGGTGGGGCAAAATTGCCCATTCTCCTTTACTAAAATCATCTGTGTGTTCTCCCGATTTCTTTACTCCTCTTTCTTTTGAAAGCCGTGTACAAGGATTTCCCCGAAACGATAGTGGATTATATATCCATTATTTTTGATCCTTTAGCAGGATAGGTCATCTATTTCTAACCTAAAGATCTGAACTTTGCCCTCATTTTTTTGGCTGACGATCTTCCACAGTGTGGTTCATTTCTATTAACTGTAGAACCTTCTCTACTGTTTATCCTTGACTTCTTTGCAGAAAGATAGATCTTTCCCGTTATTACTCATGCGCAAATCCTACTTCCTGTTAAAACTAAAAATTTATTGTTGTTTCCTACTCTGAATTTCAATTATACGTCCGCAAATGTCATTTTGACATTTTTTATTGGTAGGGGAACCAGTTACACTTTTAGGTGCATTGTTTATTTTTACTTTGTAGAACATGGAAATACTTTGCCAGTGTCTACAGCGATGGGATCCTTGATGAGGACATCTTGAAAAAATTCTGTTCAGATAATACCTTGTGCAAATGTGTACTAAACAAGTGTCACTGGTTCAGATACTATATAGCAAATAAAACACATTTTTATAAAATAAAAATATATTTTTAATCACGACTAAAATAGTTAAACTGGCAAATTGACAAAGTTACCTATGTGGCAAGCCTGTTAAAATTGAAATGACAGTTGGTCGGGTTAACCCATCGAGATAGAATAAAGTGGAAACGACATAAATACTATTTTGCGATGTGCATAGATGGAGGCACTTAGCGATGCCTGACTAACTGAAAAGTGTAATCAAAATGGTGGCTTAGAGTCGTACTTTGATTTATTTGAACTCAATAATTTTATATTTAAAGATTGAACAGAATAAAAATGTTTTTATATCATTTATATCTATTCGCACTAAAACTGGCTAGCTCCACTACCTCGAGTTTGACACATGACGTAAAAACGTAATATTGTGAAGGTACGGACACTTCTCGTATCGTTATAGCATCTCGTCTATATTCTATCTCAATGAGTTAACCCTTTTTTTTAAGAGGTGGAAATTTTCCAAAGACTATCTGGGACGTGAACCCAGACGTGCAGGATTTTACCGATTAGTGATAGCATACCTGTTGAAACCGCCTCTTGTGAGCATCGTCTCTGTCAATCTTTACATTATCTTCCTTAATTGGCTCTTTCCTCTTTCTCTATAAACTTCATAATCTGTATTATTTCTGTTGTTCGTTCAACTTATTTCGTTTTGTCGGCTATATTTGGACATAATATTTTTCGAGGTTATTTTGCTTCTAGTGACAATTCTATTACCTGTCTGTATCTTGCCCATCTGTTGCATTTGAAAAATGTGTGTCCGTATCCTCTTCATTACAGTATATACAATTATTATCAGGTGTCTTACTAATTCTGTAGGTGTAAGCCCTAAAAGAGTCGTATCCCTGAAAAATTGGCTCAGATAGTAATTTGTTTTTCCTTAAACGTGCAGTCTAATCAATTTGTGATATTTGCAGTTAACCTCAAACAGCTTTGTTAGTATTGCTGGAATGCATTTAGAAACCCCGCACGGCGCATCTGAAACCTATTCTAATGCATGTGGTCAGACGCGCCGTGCATGTTTTCTAAACGCACTCCTGCTCTACCTGTTCTGTCAAATATTTATTGATCTAAGTCTTTCGGATCTTTTAATTTCCGTATCATTTGTTCGTCTGTCGTATAATCTTGTTCTTTCATTTACAAGTATATCCAGAGAGATACACCCAGTGATTGCTTGCAGTGCTTCTCCTGATACCCTTCTGTACGCGGAGGCTACTCTGTATAACATTTTTCCCTGTACTCTTAACATCAGATTCTTATGTTTGTTCTTCCTTACTGGTTTGCCGATATTGATGCCACATACAGATTGCACCACCTCATATATCAATTGCTTTCTGGTGCTACTTCTCATGTTAGTCAAGATTCTTGATAGAGCTGTCAGTTGCTTCTCCGTCTTTTGTGCTATCTTCTTGACATTTGTATTAAAAATGCCTTTGTCATAAATTCATACTCCCAAATATTTAACTGGAGTAATTTAAATTGAATTCCTTCTCTAACTCTCTCACCTTGGATAATAACACTTTCTGTTTTTCCTGCTGCTATTTCAAGTTTATGTGATGTACGTCCATTGGTATCCAATTGGCGTTTTGAATTAAGTCCTCTTTTGTGTTAGTCTTTACGGTCAGGGCAAGATCATCGACATAGGCAACTGTGTTATATCCACTAACTAGGTCTTAGCTGAGAATCCCGTCATACAGGAAGTTTCACAGTGTCGAACCAAGGACGAAAACCTGTGGGACTCCCTGGGTATCCACTTACAGTGTTCTATCTCTCAAGTAGCCTCCAATGATGTTAAATATTGACTCATTTTTGCTTCCGGTAACTTGTTCATGATTAAACTTCAACCAGTCGTGTTAAATGCGTTTATCACGTCTATTAGAATAAATATACTCCAGGTATAATTTCCTTCCTTTACCAGATTCATTACAGATTCTATAATATCTACTGTTGATCTACCGCTACTAAATTCAAATTGTATTCCAGAGATAGCACCCTTCTCTTCCAGCTTTACTTAAAGTCTTCTTTTTATTAGTTGTTCGAACAGCTTTCACAATACATCGATTAGACAAATTGGCCTATAGCTAGTTCCCCCTTCGAGATTAAGATAACCTTTGCTCTCTTCCATGTAATATATACAAGTCCTGTAGATCCAAAATATGATTAAATATATTCAGCATTTTTATCGGGAACTCTTCAATTGCTATTTTCACTGACTCCGTAAAAACACCATCTAGATCAGGAGTCTTGTCTGTTTTAAATTTTTCTGCAGCTTCCTTAAATTTCTGAACATTAAAGTGGCTAGCACTAGTTGGTTTACGAGTTGGACAATAATCGTTGCACTCAGGAAATAATTTTTTAACAATCTTTAATTTTTCATATTTTTCCAGCTCATACGGAGAGTTAAAGCGCGCTATCATATCAGTAACTAGTTTGTGTTGGAGACAACCTCTACCATTATTGTTTCATCTAGCGAACATTTCTTCTACTGTGACTTTCTCCAATAGTGTTTGTTCGTTCGTACTTAGGATAGTCTCACAGGATCCGCTTGACGACAGTTGCATAACTACCAGAAGCGAAGGTAGCGGTCACCCTCCTTTTCTTTTCTATACTTTGCGGTGGTGTGGTGTTGCCTCCGTCTTACTTTCTTTTAAAAACTTTAGGATTGGTTTTACTTTTCTCTCTCTCTCGGATTTATGCTCCACCGCTTTATTTTTCACTTCCTACAATGGCATGCCCCACTGATGGGTCGTCCCTTTCATTAGGTTGTCCTAGTTGAGGTAGGGGAGGTTGCTTTCGTTGATATTCTGTTTTGAGGGGAGCTTCCCTTGCTGATGAGTGATAAAAAGAGGATGAAGAAGATGGAGCGTTGATAATCCGCTTCTCTTCTCCCTTTACCTATTTCTTTTGTTCTCCCATTTTTTCCTTGTGAGGTTGTCACACTTGAGAGGTTAAAGAAGGTTGATCGCTTCGGATGGCAAGGCCTCGTTCGATCAGATTTTACCTTTCATTAATACCTTAAAAAGTTTATTCAATTTTTGTATATTATATTCTTTTATAATGCGGAATACATTTTAAAAGAATAATTAAATGCCACTATACAGTAGTCTAAAGTAAGTTACATGCATCTCTTAATAAAGTTGTTTATACAAGAATGTAGAATTATTTACATCTATTTTTAAAATTGTTTAGATCGCTTAAAATGCTTTGCCTATGGAAACTAGTTTTTACGACTCAAACAAATATATATTCTTTTCCAAATTACCTAACACAGTCTCCTGTTTTGAGGTGCACATTCAGGTACTAATTTGACAGAAGCGGTTTGTTTTGATGCGCTAAATATGTGGCTAAAGTTATGACACTTTTTTCTGGGACACCCTGCATATGGAAGAGCAATCTATATAACTGCATATTTCATTGGTTTTGATTTCTAATTTCTACTGTTTTGTGTTTCGTGTCACTTGTCACTTGCTGATTTGTGTTAGAAGGCGAGTTCGGATAGTCAGGGGTTGGAGCGGGAAAAAAGCGGAGTTATTTTAGGGTGCTTTTAAATGACATTTAAGCGCATTAAACTGTCACTAATCGGACTTAACTTCACATTAGTAATCTATGGACTAAACCGAACTCTAAAAGGGCCGTGTGGAGTAAAAAGTGTTAAAGGAGTTAAGGAACTTGGCAGACCGAACGCAATGAGAGTAAGTGTTCTGTGCCCGGTGAATGACATTTTACGTTCTGTGTCATTGGAAATCTAATCTAGTTTGTTTGATTATTTGAAATTACAAATCGAAAACGTTTATCAAATTTTGTCACTATTTAATTATAATAAACAAAAGTCAACTAATTTTAGGTAAGTTTTTTAGTACATGAACCTTTAATTTTATTTTTATAACCCTGTTACTTCACTTTTATTTATATTTTAGATATTTTACTAAAATGAGTAAACCTCCGGAATCGCCAGAAAAATGCTGCATTCAGACAGAAAAACACAGTGTTTTAATAGCTCATGGATTGTGTTCATTGTTAGAACATCAGAGTTTAGTAGATATTGCTGTTTGTTGTGGTAGTAACATTTTACTTGCACATAAAATTGTTTTAGCAGCAAACAGTCCGCTCTTTAGGGTAAGTAGGCATGTGTTTTCTGAACGAGCCTCGTTAAGTGTAACTGGATAGTAAAGTATTTAAATAAGTTCTAATTTAAAAAGGCTGTCTCATTAAAGGAATAAAATAAATATTAAGGTTTGACTTACCAGTGGTACATTTTTAAAGGTGACCAGGTGGACATAACATCAAAATAAAGAGTTTTTATCCCCCTTTTTAAAATGAATGTTCCCATCGAGGTTCCCATTTATGTACTTCTGCTTGTTTAGGTAATTTATTGAACTCTGTTCACCGCTAAAATACAAGTTCAACAAAATATGTACATAAAAGTATCTAGTGATTAAGAAAGCTGCATTTATAAACTTCCTCATTTAGAAATATTAGATTTAAATAAATTTTGGTATAAATGCAGTTTATAGTGATTCTGCACATTACCAAACTTTTTAGTTTATGTGAAAGTTATGCCTTTGTCTCTTTGGAAGCTTAAAAATAAAAACAATCTTTTGGGTCACTTATTTTAAATCAGTTCTAAAATTTTCACTTCTACACTGTTTAAGAAAGATTACAACAACGAACAACTATCATGGGGTGACATAAATGGATTTTCCTACTTGTCAAAGTAGTTGAATTGTTTATTGTTGAAAGGAGGCAAGCAATATTTTGTAAGTTCTGGTAAAAATGCAACAAAATATTTCAACTCCACTTACCTCCTTTCTATACTAATCACAGTCGCATGTATGTGTAGTATTTATGTCCACATAACACATCAGTGTTTGCAGCCTTTTAACACAAAATGATTTAAATATGGAAAGAAAAATTTTTGCAGTAACTCGAAACATTAGAAAATAGTGCTAACTCCTGTCAACAATATGTGGTTCAATTAATGTGAGTTTTTGTATTAGTGTATTGTGGTTGATTGAATTATAAATAATAATAAACATACTTTATTGGCCATCAAGTCCTTCAATATATTACATACAAAATAATAAAAAACAACTTTATTTATCGAAGATAATATTATACATAAAATTCAAAATAAACCAACAATTCAATGTAAATATGAACTTTATAATTAATTCAAAATCAAATTAAACATAATTGTCCCTCATACATGTAATAAAAAAAAAAAAGAGAAAAATCACAAGAATAAAAGAAACAGTGATGTAGATGTTTAACATAGCAGATTGGTTAAAAGTATAACAAGTAAAAGAAGTAAAATAAAAGAGAAAAATAACAATTTTCAACTACCTACATTATTCATAAATTATTTAAGATAAATAATAAGTTCTTTTTTAAATTGACTAGGATTCTGAACATTTTTAAAATTTTGAGGCAGATGACTGAATTAATCGAACCCTTTATAATAATAATAATAATAATAATAAAGTTCTTCATTTTATTAATCCTCGGCGAAGTTCAGCAGAGCTGTTCAGCTTAACTGAGTACCATTTACAAAAAATAATATATGTATATTTAACAGTTTTAAAGGTTTAAAAATTAAATATTGATTATTAATTTGAACATCGTAGATAAATCTACAACACAATGTACAAGAAATAATCTATTTATAGAACTACTTTTATTAGTTGTTTATATACAGGGTGGTCCATATTTGTGGAATATATTAATTATTGGCTTTATTATTACGTCTTGAAAAAATTCTTGAACAGGTCAATTTTTATTTCTAAAATGACATTTTCTGAACAAAATTATTTATCTCCCCCTTCAACCCCTTCGAAGTAAAAGTCACCTCTTTCATTTTTTTAAATAGAAAGGGGTAGCGTGTGATACCTCATTTTAAAGGGTTTTTAATTCCCTATTCAGCAGTATAAGAATTTTTGTTTTTTGTACATTTATATTCAAGAAACATCAATTTTTATTTTTAACGATTCTATTAATAAAACTACAATTTTATGGTATTAAATGTTCAAAATGACTGCCATTAACTTCTTGACAATAACTAATGCAGTTATTAAATTCTTGAAGAACATCGTGTATGACGTCCAGGCCAATTTTTTCAATTTCTTCAGTGATTCTTTCTTTTAATTCGTCAATAGTCTCCGGTCGATTTAAATACACTTGAGACTTTAAGGTCCCAGAGAAAATAATGGCTCCACGCCTGCCAATCCATCTGTTAGGAAATACTTCATCCAAGTAGTCTCTCACCCCAAACAGCACAGTACGTCTTAAGTACGTACAGTTTTGGTACAGTACGTACAGGACGTAAAATGTACGTTTTAAGTAGGTACACAATAGTACGTACCAGTACGTACAGAAAAATACGTACTAAGTACGTACCTAAGTGTACGTAATCCTGGTTGCATACCTGTTTTATTGAAAAACCTAAGTTTTTACCAAATTTCTGTTGTCCGTAGGCCAAAAAGACAAAAAATGCAAAGAAGAAACACATTTTATTTAACCTAACATAAACTCTAAACTAAACTCGCGCGTTTTTTTAAGCAACCACGTTTCAACGGTTTCAACAGTTTGTTATTGTTAGTTTTTTTATGTTTAAGAATTTAACTATTAAGTGTTTCTTTAAATAAATAATTGTGTATAATTTATTATAATTGAACAAGACAGTTCTTAAGACTTTTAGACTTTTTAGTGCATGTTATAAGTACATAGTTTTGTCATTTTATTCTGGTGAGTGGTTTCATTTTAATTTTAAAAAATTATGTGTAATAAATATAATTTATAGATATGTCTCCCATCCCATAGTAAACATTACAAAAATGCTACAAAACAATTGAAAAAGTTTAAGGAAATGAATAAACAGGAGGACAAAAGAAGTGATATTTTACAGACCCTAATAATTTAATTTTGGATTTTGTTAAAAGGAGTATGGCTGCTACCTTAATATTTATAATCAGCTGGCAACAAATTATAATTGGCTGTAGTTGTAGTGGGTAAGATGTTTTGATTTTTTATTTTTGCATGCCAGTCGTTACATTAAAAACCTTCTATCCAGTCACAATTATTTTTGTATCTAATGAAATTGTGTACTTCCAACCATTGGACTTCAAAACTGGTGGAGAAAAAGAAATATAGGAGTTCCGATATTATACAGCAGTGTCAGGAACAAATTGTATTTCAAAGGCATAAAGCCAAAAGAGGTGGATACAAATTAGAGAGGTTTACATCCAGGAGTATATTGACAATGATAATTTTGAGCCGTAGAAACTATCGCTTATTTTACTCTACATCTTTTTGTTATATTGTTTTTATTATATTACTTATTATAAAAAGTACCCAAGTTAAGTTTCTAATTTGATATTATTTGTTTGCAGAAGGTGCTGTAAAAAGTAGCAAATGCAAAGAGAAGAAGGTTGCAGAACAGGAAATTGTGAGATGGCTAAGAAGAGCTGATGATAGTCTAAAAACTTTAAAAAAACATAGCAAAACAATTTAAATTATTCTTTGTAAAAAATTAACTTTTTTACTTTTTTTTTGTATTGTATTATTATGAACATTTTACATCATAAGTAAGTACCAATAAGGATGAAAAGAACGTCTAGAATATGTACTCTATTGGAATAAGTGCAAACATAGTACGTACATTAAGTACGTACACAGTACGTACATTAGGTACGTACAGAGTACGTACTTTAAGTACTTACTAGGTACGTACTGTCGTTTGGAAAATGTACGTATTATGTACGTATTATGTACGTACTTTGTACGTCTTATGTACGTATGTGTGTTTGCTGGGACTCCACGTGGAAAATGTGTTGGAGCACTATCTTGTTGGAACCAAACATTTCTATCTGTTTCATCTGAATTGTTATTATCATGATACAGAACTTGTAATTGAGGAACCAAAAAATTTGTTAAAAAATATAAATACCAATAAAGTAAGGCCCAATGATTTTATTTTCAATAATACCACCCCACACATTCACTTTTTTTTAGGAAACTGAGTGTGAGTCTCCATTATCCAATGAGAATTTTCTCTGCTCCAATAACGAGATTTTTGTGTTTAAGAGTAAAACGTTGTTTCGTCCGAAAAAAGTATTTTCTGTAAAAACTGCACATTTGCCTGACATCTGTTCATTATTTGTTCACAGAATTGTAGCCTTCGGTCTGGATCGTCCTCAGATAACTCCTGTACCAACTGAATTTTATAGGGATGGTACTTTTCTTTGTGTAAAAAACGCAAAATTGTTGTTTTGCTGACGTGTTGTGTTCGGCAGCAAGTTGTCTAGTAGATTTATGGGGATTTTCTTCAAGGGCTATCATAACATCTAATCGTTTATCCTCATCAACTTCAGGGGTTCACATGCTCAGTTCTACGAAATTTCTTTGCTAACTGTAGACTAAAATATTATGTCCTGGATATTTATTATTAAATAATTCACATACCCTCCCTATGCGTTCGTTTCCTAGCAAGCATTATTAAAATATCTATTTTCTGAGTTTCAGATAAATACGCCATAACGGCTGTTCATAAAATTGAACTAATTAAATAGTATAAATTATAATAGTCAATTATAAATAAATGTTCCTTGCCTACCCAGACAACACACCAAATCCCAGAGATATCCACAGAATATATTTTGTGGATATCCAATATATCCACAGGATATCAGAAATATTCCGTGGAACTAATATAGATATCCAAATGTCCGTCTATATCCAGAATATAGAAGATATCCTATGGATATTCAGCAAAATATCTAATGAGTATCTCCAGACAATACAAGAAATCCCAGATATATCCATAGAATATATTTTGTGGATATCCAACCAAATGTCCGTCTATATCCCAGGATATAGAAATTCAGATAAATATTTTATATTTTTAGTAAAGGTTCATAAGTAACCAATGGTTATTGAATAACGTCGAAAGAAGATAGAGGTAAAAAATATTCCCAACAATCTGCCTTTGATTTTGCCTACTAAGGAGAAAATCATCCTTATTAGGAATCTTCAGCAATAAATGGAATTTCTCGACTTCAGTCTCTAATGAAGTCTGTTTGTGAAACAATGTCGATCAAACTCAATTACGGCGGGTTAAGCAT